TAATTTTGATACCTTATTTTAAGAATATACTTTTTCTTAAATATCTCGTGAATAAATCGATATTTAGATTATTATCGTTATTATCGATAAAAAAAAAGATTGTATCGATTTTTATCGAAAAAATATGTATCGATTTTTTTTTATAAATTGTGCATCCATTTATTTTATATAATATTTATTTTTTAGATGAAATTTCCCATATTTAGCGTGTATCGACGGAAAAAATATTGAAATAACGATTTTCCTTTCATTCCTGAAATGCCTACACATGTCTTAAATTATCTTCGCTAACATCGATTAGCGATTTAAAATATATAAAAATATCGATTTTTTATCGATAGTAAGAGAAAAATTTATATCTAAAAATACTTATTAATTTTGATACCATATTTTAAGATTATATTTTTTCTTAAATATTTTTTAAGGTTAGAAAGTSTATCGATAATTTTATGAAACTATAGCTATTAATTTATAGTTAGAGGTTTCATAAACCAAAACAATAAAAGCAATAAAGAATTAAAGGAGTCCGGATCTACTGGAATAAAACCGTCGGTGCTGTCGTTTCCAGAAAAGAGCAACGTTTAAAACGAGCTCAAAAGTAGTTGGCACAAAGTCARTAGTTAAGCTTGGTCTAGGTGTAAGCGCTGATACTGCAGCCAAACCCAACTTTTTTTTTTTTTAATGTGATTTGTAAGTCCGATTTCATTTCACCTCCTCTTTCCTTTCCCTTAGCAATACTATAAGTGTATAAGTGACTCTGTGTTTATAAATTTAACGTCTCTCAAGTAAGTTGTAGCTGACAAGCAGAGGAAATATCGAACTTCAAAGATCTCTTTAACAATATGGCCAAATACTATTGAGTAAAATATTGCGCTGCTAACCAAATCAGATACTGAAAATGGCAACAACGAATATTTTAAATCCATCAAAGAGTGTGGGAAGCAGTCACTTTAATTTTTTCATGGCAGTTAGAGGTCGCCAGAAGGGAGCGAGAATATCAATGCTCCGCTGTTACTATCTAACTAAGTGTGTGTTTGTCTGCATGTTTGGCTATTTTTATTAAAAATAAACCTTTTTTTCATTAAAAATTTCATTACWCCGCAGACGATGTGTGGGCTCATATCACAAAAGAAATATAATGAGGGAAAAGAAAAAGTAATTTTCTATGACTGCTGCAAACCCTTAAATGTTTATCTGAAAAATAAAAATAAAAATAAAAATAAAATCAAGTATAACAAGCACGATAGGCACAAACACACGCACATACAGCGAAAGCTAAGGGTAAAAGCCGCGCACTCATATGTTGTGCGTTTACTAATTGGAGACGGTTGGGGCACAAAGTCACATGGGAATGACTCTAGTATGTTGTTTTGTGTGTATGAAGTAGCAATAAAACTGTGCGTTGATAAAATCTCAACAGGCCKATGTTTGGAAGTCAACAGGGTTTTGTATTGTCGCTGGTTATGAATTACATACATACATACATACATCTAGATACATACATACATATATGTACATATATATGTATATTAAACACGTTCTGTTAATTTTTGTTACTCACTTCGGTGTTAAATTACGCCGTTAATGTCACGACTAGGCACAAATGGACTTTTGAAAATTTGAACTTAATGAAAATTGCAGCATTTGGCTTATAAATATGTAAGCTGTTTATAGATAGCGAATTTTAAGCAGCTTAAATGGTTGACCTATAAAGCAAATATAAGGGTAAAAGCKTGAAATTAGTTTTTACACYACCAAAAATTTAATCGTACATCTTCATATAYACATATGTAAATATATTTATATATAAGAGGTTTTTTATAAGGTCTCGCAGAAATAAATCCATTTTTTGCATTAAATTGTTCGTTAACAATTTGAAAGTCATTTCATATTGCTACACTCTTAGAAATCCTCATCCGTATTGGCAAAAACTGCGATCATTCACTTTCATAAGGTTCTCTTGAGGCRCATTTTTCACCAGCAAATCACTTGAGAGTTACGGATTATAAAGTGGATGCATAAGAAGCCATAGCTTCTGGCAAAGAACTATTATGCCTGGTGTTATCCTGTTGGAATACAAATACTCTCCTATTGCCCAAAGTTGGCCACTTCTGAGCGATTGCT